ATTAATTTATGAATTATCTTTAAACCTGAATGCAGATTAAATTTTTCTCATGTTCAAATATATAAAACATTTAAGTTAGTATATTAAATGTCCTAGATGTATTGGATCAACTACTGAATAACTCCAAACAAGTAAGTATGGTAACTAGTAATAACTCAAGCATATGTAAGCATACACGGTGAATTTGATGTAATAGTACCAATATTTTGTTTAAAATTTATGAGCAGGACCAATAAATTGTCATAAATGGTGAAAATAAATTTAAAAAGCACTTAATATTTTATGCTTTGGTTATAACCAAAATGTTTACTTTTTTAAAGTAATGAAAAAGTAATGCCCCGTCTGATTATTACTAGCAACATTTTGTTAGATAGCATAACTCAAAGTCATTACAAGTTTGCTACAACATTTTAATGCAACTAAACTTGGAGCACAAAGCACAACTCTACCAATCTGGGTAGAAACTGCAACACACTTCAAAATACGTAGACAACTAGTAAATGTCAGAAAAAATCCGCAGGGAAACTACTATAACACAAGGTAGATGAAATGTGGACAGCAACCACAAGGCAGATGAAATTTTGATGAAAGCTGCTGCTTTGGAACAATAATAAACAATTATACTGTTTATGTTTAAACTTATCATTTGTGATGATGGTTATAATGTTCTTCCAGTGCTTCTTTTAGCTGTATGTTCAATAGTAAATAGATGAATTTCAGTCTCCAGCCATGAGATAGTGTGAAACATCCAATAGAATACGTGGATTTGAATTTACAAAACACTAATTTTACAGTGGTGCCAATCTATGGTCCAATTTATTCTGATCTTATGTGGTACAAATGGATTATTATATTTAGATGAATATCTTGTATGAAAACGTTTATCAACAAATTAAAATAAACTATATTATTGTTTATATGTTTCATTACATGTGAATACTGTATTTCTCTGGAATTGTGTTATAAAGTTTTTATGTGAAGTTATCAAATAGTTCCCAGGTGGAACAGTAGTAAGTTTATGGACTTGCAACACCAAAATCTGGGGTTTGATTCCCCAAAGTGGACACAGAAGATAGTCCAATGTGGCTTTGCTCTAAAAGAAAGAAAAACAAACATGTATCAAGTATGATCTCTTACATTGCTTATCAAGAAAGTAATACAAATCTGGGATATTTCCACAGTTCTTTGAAATGTTGAATTCCCACTATTCTTATATTTTTGAACAGATATCACTGACATCACATTGAAAACAGCAGCTTCATATTGGTTTTATATTAAGAGAAAAAAACAGTAAAAAGTGATAAAATTATTGTCTTTCATCTTTTTGTTGAGGCAAAACAGATATTAATCTGAGCAAGGTAGAATGCTGCTGGTTTGACAACTGTAGCACAGATATTGATTTTGAGCTAGGTAGAATATTGCTGGTTTAACAACTGTAGCACAGATATTAATCTGAGTAAGGTAGAATGCTGTTGGTTTGACAACTGTAGCACAGATATTGATTTGAGCTAGGTAGAATATTGCTGGTTTAACAACTGTAGCACAGATATTAATCTGAGCTAGGTAGAAGACAACTGTAGCACAGATATTGATCTGAGCTAGGTAAAATGCTGCTGGTTTGCCTAGCTCAAATCAATATCTGTGCTACAGTTGTCTTCTTCCTAGCTCAGATTAATATCTGTGCTACAGTTGTCTTCTACCTAGCTCAGATTGATATCTGTGCTACAGTTGTTAAACCAGCAATATTCTACCTAGCTCAAATCAATATCTGTGCTACAGTTGTCCTAGCTCAGATTAATATCTGTGCTACAGTTGTTAAACCAGCAATATTCTATAGAATGCTGCTGGTTTGACAACTGTAGCACAGATATTAATACTTTTTACAAATATTTGTTTATGATTTTAAAGGTGAATTGCCACTAATGACTTAAGGGCCTAATGGCTCGTAGAAATTCTGAAAATGAGAGAATACCACAGTGGTCTAACATACTGCATCTGTGTGGAATCCTATACTTGACTAAAACAATAATCAGAACAAAAAGTAATGATATCTTATCAAAACATTTTACATGTAACAAAACAACTAGGTTAGAATAAAGGGGTCAACCATACAAATATGGGGTATTAAAAAAAGTCAAGTTACGTAAAAGGGTAAACCACGTAAAAGTGGGTAAGTTAAATAAGAGAAAATGGGGAAAATTTGGCTCTCATTTTGTATTACATTGCAACTTTTCCAACTGCAGTACAAAAGGGGCCAAGTTTAGATGCATGATTCATATGGATGTGAGAGTAGTGCAGATTCTACCGTGTGGAATACTTGTGACATTAGAATAATGGTCTAGCTATGGCTTTTAATACTCCATTGTGTACTACTGCAATGTGTGGGTGTGAAATGGAACAATAAAGAAAGTGAACTTTAATAAGGCTGGAAGACTTTGAGATGTGAGATTTTAATTGACAAAATTTTAGTAAGAGTCACGTAACCAGCAAGTTGGTCTTCCAGCATCCAGAACTTGGTGTCACTTTTATTAGTGAAGAATGTAAGGATAAGATATTTTGGCAATCACTACAGTTAAAAAGGTTATAATTCCAGATAAGTTTTTCTCAGAAGGCTCAGTGAGTAGAGGGACAACATCAAGTACTGGGTAAGGATTACTGTGGCGAAGGCAAAAAAAGAAAAAGAGACGATTAAAGACAAATTTTTAATTTTCTGTGTTTGTAAAATGAAATAAAATATATTGCTATATGTTCTGTACATTTTACATAAAAATAAAATATTTTCAAAAGTGCTTCCGACACCAGTTCAAATCTTCTGCAACTCACATCTTGGGAAATCCTGATCTAGATAGTTTTTTGCATGAAGATAAAGACTATAAAGAAAATTAGGCTTAAGATTTTTTTGTCAATGCTATAAACATTAATTGGGTATGCATCTCTTCATGAATGAAGAGAAAGAATCTGGTAAGATAATTTATTATTTTCTCTTATTATATTCCAATTGTTAAGCTATTTATATTTAGTTAAAACCTTGTTTTTAGTGTAAGATAATGACTTTTAAACCTCGTATGAATTGAAGCTAAACTACATGTAGTATTGCCAGCCATCGTAGAGTAAAAAGAATGTATGAAGAAATATAGAATAAGTCATAAACAGGATTCACATAGGGTCCTAAGTATCCTGGAAAGTCACATAAAATGAGCTTTAAAAATATCAGTACTGGAAATCCTAGAAAAACTCCTGTTTTTATGTTAGAGTCCTGGAAAAGTACTGAAATTTGTTTTAATAAAAAAGTTCCCCATAAAATAATCAGGTTAATCAAACTAAACAAAAGGTAGGTTATCAGAATTGGGTTTATTTATATTTCTTGTTAGCCATAGTGAATCTTATGCCTTGTGAAATCTAAGATTGTTATAATTTCCATTTTATGAAAAAAATGTAAGTTTAATCCTGCATTGCAGGATTTGAGTGTCCTGGAAATTTGAGTATGGATCCAAGAAAAAATACTGAAATTTTTTGTAAAATTTGTATAAACTCTGTAGGAACGAAAATATAATTAATATAGACAGTCCTAATCCATTGTCTTGTCTTACCTCTTTGATTTTTTTCTATATAAAAATGTTTATGAGAATCATTATTAATCACACACACATACATATATATATATATATATATATATATATATATATATATATTTATATTATTTACTTTACTATTAGTAATAGTATTACTTTACTTTTAATTAAGTAAGTAGTACGTAGTACGTAACCTACTACTACGTACTACTTAGTTTTACGT